GGAGTCCTGAGATAGCCTAGGTGGAGTGTTACCAATTAGACTGTAGAAAGTGATTTTTTTTCCCAGACAAGTCCGTTACCAATTTCCGGATCCCGGAGGGATGAGAGGCTTTGTTGGCCAGGAGCAGAATCGAACTAGCACCATGCTTGTGATGATGAACATCATTACCACTCTGCTATAAGCCCCATCATACTATCGTATATAGTCTTATTTTAAATCTTAATAAAAGAAATATTTGAATGTGACAGCGTACAAAGATTGTTGTTTGTGACCACAAAGTACCTATCTGGTTTCTGTGTCACTCAATAACCGAAGCATCCATCTCTATGGATCCATCCTAATCTGGCACTGGTCTCATCTTCGAAAAATGCGAGTCCGAAATGATTATGAACCTCAATGCAAGACGATGATGATTGTGTACTTCCTGAACCGCCGCTCTGTACTTAGTTGTTTGCTTATACTTTCCAATCTCGCTGTGACTCGTCTTGGCGACAGTAGACTTTCAGTTTTAATTGTACGCAGCTGGTTTGACGTGATCGTCTTCCACTTATTCTCCATCCATCGAGAATCACTTCCAACCAAAAAAACTTGTGCAGGAACGTTACCTTCACCACAAATATTCGCCGATCCCTATTGAGCAGAGCAATGTTCGCTACTTTGAGACTAAGTTTTCCTCATGACAAGGGCTATTCTGTCATTTGTTTACCCTTATCCGAGTTTACAACCAGAAATGGTGCAAACTTTATGATAATCCTGATGAGTGATAAGCTTCCCACTGCAGGTTCGCACCCAGGAGCAACACAACCCCTTAACCACAATAAAGGGCAAACCATTGTGCGCAACTAGAAGGCATTCCATAGCATTACAACGAATGTCATAATATAAGCGTTTATCCACCAAAGAAAGAAATATGATACATTTTTTTTAAAACTACTCACTTCACTAATGCAGAAAACAGTGAGGCCACTCAATGAGCACGGAAGTACCCACGCACTGATGAGGCGATTTTATCGAATCCTTTTATTTTTGAACACTTCATCATGTTTTCGAGTGGTACTCACAAAGGCTATGCTTAAAATCCTTTGATTAGAGCTACCACATGCTAGGTGTACGTACAATGTACAGCGAACAAGCACGACATAGAGGAGTTTTGCAGAACAAGGAAAGTAGTATTCGTCTGGGTCTTTCAAGAAGGCCAACAATCAAATAGCCGGTGCAGTACACCATTTTTTGGGCCACTGGTGCTCATAGTGCTCAGTAATGAAGACACCAACCACTATCTTGTGCTCTACTCACATCGCCATTGAGTGCTGTCTTACTTACTTGATGTTTGAACGGCCCTAGTTGTTCACTAGTTGTACGGGCCCCAGCATAATCACCACTTTTCGGAAATTTTCTGGTTAAGCCATTGCGGTTTTCTAGAATCCTGAGGACAGCCTGGCCCAAGTCTGCCCCTGGTCGTCACCACGAGCAGCCCTTGTGGATCAGAGAGAGATTTACCACCATGCAACTTTGATACCAAGACAGTAGTGGGCTCTGGTATTGGTTTACTCTTAGCTAGGCTTCCTGGTGAAAACGCCAGACTCCTTCTCAGCTTGGGGAACCCTGCCGGGGGGACGAATCCCCCCGCTGCACATCGCAGTCCGACACTCAGAAACACCTGCTAGCCACGATGAGGAGGTAAACCGTTGTGAGGGAGTGCTGTCTTCTAAACTAAAATTGGGGTCACCACCCCAAGCCGAGATGGGAAGCTCAAATCCTCGGGAATATGCTTCCAACATCTGGAATTAAATAAATGCAAAGAATACACTTCGAAAGCGCGATATAGTCTGATGGGTTGTGTGCTAACAAATATAGGTGACATATAGGCGACAACGGTAAGGGAACTGCTGAAGGTTATGTCGTCTTGGTCAAGCCGCTACTTGATAGATAGCGGAGTTCAGCACGCTGCATGTTCAGATGGAAGCGACTGCCGTGATGCTACTGCTAGTGGACGTTTCCATGCTCAAGAAGAGCGCCATCATAAACGATGATTGCGAAGAAACGAAAGTGTTCGCAAATGTGCTGGCATCTGTCCTACTCGCCAAAACTAATCGCCTGTGTTATTCATGTTCTTTTACATACTATTAGGATGTCCAAAAATAAAAGACCGTTTTGAAAAATTTATTGTTTCAATTAAGTAAAATATTCTTTGCACCTTGCAATAGTATATGCCATTAGTTATTTTTTTATATTTTGCCAAATTTTAAACTTTTTTCTACCAATTTTGAGCTTCACCGCTTTAGATGTTAAAGACGAATTTCCGTCAAATTTTCTTTTATGGGGTCAAACTCGGGCGTAGTACAGCAGAATCGGCTCGAAACATTAATGGAGTTTGAAGTGAAAGCAGTGTTTGTGAATCAACAGTTGGAGCATGGTTAGGGAATTTGTGAGCTGGTGATTTCGATCTCGAAGATAGGAAAGGCCACGGACGTCCCAGTGAACTTGACGACGGCGAATTGAAGGCAATGGTGGAAGCGAACACGCGAACAACCGTACGGGAGCTTGCAGAACAGCTTGATGTAAGCGCAGGAACAATTTCCACTGACTTAAACCGCATAGGAAAGACAGAAACAAACCCGAAAAGTGTGTGTCGCACGAATCAAACGATAATCGAAAAAATCGGCATTTTGAAGTGTCGTCCGATCTTATTCTGCGCAATAAAAGCGACCTTTTTCTTGATCGAATTGTGAAGTGCGACTGGCATTGGATTCAGTACGACAACCGGAGGCGTTCAGCTCAATGGTTGGATTGCGATCCGGTTATACAGCGCTTCCCAAAGCTGAAATTGCACCAAAAAAAGGTTATGGTGACCGTTTGGTGGTCTGCAGCCGGGCTGATTCATTACAGCTTTTTGAATCTGTGCGGAGCCATTAGAGCAGAAAGTATTGCCGGCAAATCGACGAAATACACCGTAAACTCCAAGGACAACGACCGACATCAGTCAACAGAAAAGGGCCAATCCTTCTCCACGAAAACGCTCGGCTTCACGTTGCGGAAGCAGCGCTGCAGAAGTTGAAGGAGTTGAGCTACGAAACTTTGCCTCATCCTCCATGTTCACCAAAGCTTTGGCCTACCGACTATCACTTCTTTAAGCACCTCGACACCTTCCAGTGCCAAAAATTCTTTCCCAACCACGACGATCTAAAAAACGTTTTCAACGAATTCATCGCTTGCAGAACTCTAAAATTTTATGCAATTGGAGTAAATAAACTCATCTTTCGTTGGAAAAAAATGTTCAAATTTACAGATTAGTACGGTTTTGTCAGAAGCAAGTTATGACATTTTAGACAATATAGTTAAAAACGCTCATTTATTTTTGAACAACCAAGTATTGCGAGCAAGAGAACAAATAAGCGGTACGCCACTTGTTTGTATAGTTTGTATATATGTATATTTAAATATGTAAGCATATATTCCCATAATCACCTCTATACACGTATATATACATATATATGTGCGTACTTGTGCATGTTGTGTCGCAAGATGCTCATTATTTAACCGCTTGGGACATACTGTATACGCTAGTTCACTATTCTTGAAGGTTTTTTTTATGTCACATTTAGTGCGGAAAACAAAGTCGATCACTGAATTAGACGGTAAAGGGAGAACGGTGGATCATTAACATTCGAATGCCTACAAAATGCAAGAAATCGCACTGGGGAGAATCGGAAGTGGGAACCCCAGCTGGTTTAAAAGTTATCCATTTTCTAGCCCTTTTCGCTTCTCTTCCCGGATTCTCGCTGTTGTGTTTGCACGCCAATCGTTTTGCGTCCTTCTCATGTTTCATCGCAGTACTCTGCTAACTACAACTTACTTCACTGCCTGCGATTGTTTGAGAGTTTAAGTCTTAGTGGCGCCATGTCTGCAGATGAAGAATATGGAAACTTGTTCATTCTCTTTCCTATAAACAGTGACGGAGGGGATGTTGGTGGCGACAGGTCATCGCATGGGAACACCTCTTCTGTACTTCCACCGAGTGATTATATGCCTGCGTTCTTCCACACGTACTGAGAAGTTCATAAAAGTTCGACGCCTGCAAAGCGATCTCCTGTACCTCATCCATTTCCCGCCCTTTCAAATCAACGGCATACTCTAGTATCACGACACCCAGGTGGCTAGGATATCCACCAATCGCATCAGGGACATCCTGGTCCTCCATCTGCTTCCGGCGGATATCCTCCTTCCTTCATATAAGTGTATTTTCTCCCCTGAATCGTCTATTTCACCTTTTTCTTCTAGTACTTCCTAATAAGAATATAGGACTCTGAAATTAACTCTTTCGTAACAAGAAGTCAGGTAGGAGTGAAAGTATTCTGTTCCAACACATTGATCTTATCGATTTCTGTGAATTATTTATGGCTGATGAATTAGAGAACAAGACGAATACCTGTGCGAATGTTTCATTCCTCTTTTCCATATCTTGTTTTACCCACAGTTTAGGTTTCCATATCTGTCCATATCCCCCGCCTGTGACGCAGTGGTCGAAGGCGCCCTGCAACACACACGTGGAATCGATTCCAGCGCTTATGGCCTACCAAGCCTTCCATCCTCCAGGGTCGACAAATTGGTACCAGGCTTATCTGGAAGGATAGCAACAATGGTTTGATCAATCGATAGCTCACTGCGAGTCATTGTAAAAGCCAGATATGCATTCAATCACTTCAAAACGATGCTTAATAAAGTCGAATGCATGGCGCATCCATTAGGGATTGATCAACGCTGAGAGCTTTATCCTTCTATAGCTTTATCCGTTCTGTATGCATACGAGGGTCCGATTACCAACGCAGTACTTTGACGCGAAGCCGAAGCAAATTTAATTCGTCTTTGATTTGTACAATAATTCCTAAAATCGCCAAGACGATTGTCACTGCGTGTTGAAGTGCAAAAACAAGAAATGAGGAAATTGAACTATTTATTAGCTCAGAATCAATATATTCGTTTTGGAAAGATTAGTGAACTCAGATACTCATCTTCCATACAGTTTTGTAAGGGTCTTTTAGATACTTGAGATTACTGTCCTCAGTAATGTGAGGCTTCCCATTTTTATCGAATGACATCATCATACGATTCTTCTTAAAATCTTTGAAATCCTTGTCTGTGTAGAACTAAAAGAAAGGAATCGCTTCGAAGATCGCACAATTGTTATTCTCGTGCACCACAAAAAACAGTTTTAAGAACTCGCGTCCATGGGTAAATAAACGTAACACTCCATCGCCATCGCCAAAGTGGATGTAATGCATGACGTTTCTGTAGATAGTCTTTTTCTAAGGTATTTTTTACCCCTATGAAAATGAGTTTACGCATTTTTAGTGACGAACTTCCATTTTCCACGCTTGGACGTTTTCTTTAGAAAAAATCGAATCCGTAACCTTTTACATTGGACAACATTTGAGCAGGTTTCAGCAGAAACTAATAGAAGAGTAGCCATCACGACCACAACCACAGATGAGACCGACCTGCGTCTCATCTGTGGTTGTGTATTCAAATTCAACCTTTTCGCAAACTACAATGGTTACATTCGCTTTCTTTTCCTGCTGTAATGAAATCTTTGTGGATTTCAAAGCGGAGTTGAGCAGTAACGTCGTACGCAGCTTTGCTGTAATTCATGTCGAGTTCACCAGAGTCGTAGACGCGTCGTACCTTCGCCATTTCGATCGAAAACACTTTTCCGAACTGACACTGTCGAAACAATGCATCATGCAAATAAGCAGGGGAGCACAATGATTTGCTTCTGCAACAGTCTTGCTTACATGCGTTATTTCTTTTCAGAATACGAAAGAATGAAGAGCAAACAAAGACGGGCGGCATCAGTAGAAGGTTGGGATCATAGGCGAAGTCCGCCGGAGCGTCAGCCAGTATTTAATAAATCTTGTTATTAAAAACCTCGTCTCTCTTCAAAAAAACTCTGAGGTTTCCTCTTTGTTTCCAAGTCATTATATAGCAACTGTGATACCAGTTTCGTAAAATGTCATGTCATCGAATTGTTACCTATCATTCGCTCGGTCGGGTCACAATGGCTTTACCTTTGATTATAAAGAAATAGCTATGTTCTGGTGTTAGTTACAAATGGAAAGTCAAAGAAATATCAAACCTCTCTAGGTATGATAGATACAGTATTTTGCATTCTCACAGTTATCTATCTTATAATATGTCTCCAAATCGACCCACAGGAATGGCCGAACTTTAGAGCTCTTTTTCGGAACTACCCGTTACTTTTCGTCCTATTTCGCGCGCAAGTCGCCCATTAACCATTTCGTTTACCTTGGAACTCTGACAATAATCATAACATTAATAGCAATAGTCACTTATAGGCCTGTTAATGATCGAATAGCTCGAGCGATCGTATGTAGTTTATATTTGTCCTTGCCGCCCACCCGATTATTTCAGTAGGCTACACTCGTTCGGTGAACGCGAAAAAATCCACATCTTTGGTTTGAGGTTCTTTATTCCTACAGCTCTTTTTGAAGAAATCGGCTACGAATAGAAAGTATGGCTCCGCTACGGCATAGGTTTTCTTCTATACGTACTTCTGGACAAGATTGTCAAGCTCTTCTTAATCTCTCTAGGTGAGTGATGGAAGATCAATAAGGATGCTCCGTGACGCAAGTCAACTCAAGTAACAGCGCCTCATTTTCTACTGCGCTGATCTAATTTGTACCTTCCATCAGCCCGTATGAGTGGGGGGCGGAGAGCGCAATGTTTAGTGATATCGTGTCGTAGACGAACGATCTCTGGTCTGATCCGTCGGGTATCCACATCCCCTTTCTTCCGTGATCGGTCAAATAGTACTTAACTTTTCTAGGAGAAGCTCCTCTTAATCGTATCCGCAGAAAATCTGCTCTGGCAGAGATCAGAAAGCTTTAGTACAATTGTACGAGTATCTCAGGAAGAATCGACTCGGCCAGTATTCAATGACATTCGTATAGAAGACAAAGTCGTCAGGTGGTAGCGCAACCCTTTCGTTAATCCGAAGCGTTTTGTGGTTAATGGACGCCAAACAATTAGCCTAATGAAAGAAGTGCTAAACCCCACTAAATTCGCGAAAGGTCATATAAATAAACAATAACAAGTTTTCATGAATACGTGTAAGGATGTGTTTTCGTGTATCTGGTTGTATTTTTCACTTCGAATCAGCCAAATATGCTAATCGAGTGACCTGCTGAGAATATGTTGGAAAAGGCTCATGGTTGTTCAGTTCATACTCTGGGGGAGAATGAAAAGACATGTGTTTATATTGCTGAGCTTGCGCGAGGTTGATACGAGATGTTTATTCGGCTAACGCTTCGATATCTTCCTCTTCATCAGAGCTGACGATCCTTGTCGACAGTCCACAGTTGTTCCACTTCTCGACGTGGCGTCTTCCCCTCGGATCGGAGCTGATCTTCTTCATTTGAGCGTCTCGAATGAGCCGAACACACCCGGCGACGCTCTTTTATACAGGGCGGCTGTTGTTGATATGTTGATCAGTAGATGATAATTTGTTTTTAAACTAATAATCCAGCGTGCAGCAGTCGGTATTTTGTTAGCTAGCACATGGTGAACAGCAAAACAATAATTTCCAAACCGGTGTCGAGCGTCGCCGGTTGTGTTCGCCTCATTCGAGATGCTCAACTGAGGAAGATCCGGTTCGACGCGAGACGAAGACGCCACATCGAGAAAAAGAACAACTGTGGATCATCGAAAGGATCGTCTGCTCTGATGAAGACGAAGACTTCGAAACGTCAGCCCAATAGACATCTCGTATCAACCTCATGTAAGCTCAACAATATAAACACGTGTTGATTATCACAGTAACGAGATTAAATGACGGCCGGTTTGAATATGAAAAGATATTTTCTTATTATATGGCGAAATATGGTGCACCTTGTAAGAGCATTGATTTCTTCAATGTGGTGACTTGAATTAGGGAATAAAAAGCGCTTGAGCTAATTCACGATGGTCCAACGTTTTCATATTATTGGATTCTTTTAAGAAATATATCTCTGCTGTTCCGATACTCTTTTGGAAGAACTTCTCGTTCAGTCTCTTGTTTCTCCTAGAAAACTATTTTACACTAAAAATTCGAATTTTTCGGGAAATCGTTTGTTTTTGTTTCGCGATTTCAATGGACTAAGTCAACAGGAACCAAATTTGCTGGGTATACTAGACTCACTGGAACAACGTAGGTGACTTCTATTCTGAAGGGAATTCCATTTCTTGATCTCAAACCGGTCAATGCGATTTTATGAAAGTGGTCAAGAGGAAAGACATTGACAAGAACTTTGATAGCACTACGAGCTTCTTCGAAAACATTTTCAGATGGTCTTCAGTTTATCCATTTATTGATTGTTTCCTTTTCTTCATCTACATCAACTTATGTCTTGCACTGGCACAAAAAACATAGTTTTAATCGAATCAAGCTGAATAGATAATAATCAAACGATCCAATATATTATGAAGAGATATTCTCGGACAAGGCGTCCTTTCTCTTTCTAGGCCCGATTGTTTTGCCTTTTTCATCCACTTTTTCATCGTTTTCCAGATTGCTGCCTTTATCGGCGAATCATTCATGCCCTTGCATTGCCCTATTTGACGCTTCCAATCGCCCTTAGATTTTTCAAACTGATATTATCATTATGGTTTTCCTGAACACGAAGAAGGTGTAATGTGTGATGTGCGCACCTTGTAATAGCATTGATTTCTTCACCATCTTTTCATTTACTTCGCCAAAGACAAATCAACGAGATTTCTGACACGACGGTCAGCACTTCAAACTGACGCAGCAACGGTAGAATATCGCTAATTGTATGAAACATTTGAACGTTTCGGCCTACATAGAGTAGTAAAAGGATAAAGGACAAAGCCCTCGGCGTTGATCAATTCCTGAGGGTTGCGCCATGCATTCGACTTCACTAAGCATCGTTCAGAGGTGATAGAATGCATATCTGCCCTTTATAATGACTCGCGGTGGCCTACCGATGTATCGAGCAAGTTCTGCTATCCTTCCAGACATGTCTGGTACCAATTTGCCGACCCCGGAGAGATGGAAGGCTTGGTGGGCCGTGGACGCAGGGAGCGATTCAACATGAGTGCTGCAGGGCGCCTCCGACCACTGCGCCACACGCGCCTTTACGTCAAGTAGTACTAATAATAATTACGCGTGAAACAAGAGTAGAACAGAAAGCGATAATTTTACAATGATTTTTATTTGTTAATGTTATGCTGGCAGTCTAATCACTATGTTCTTTCGATGCTTTATTGATTTTTCCCTTGTTCACACGCGTATATCAGATTCTCATGCGCAGCTATCGCAATTCTCTTTTCGAAATGCCAACAAGTGTTTATTGCACAATATTACACTAATACCGTAAGACTCCGATTCAAACAACACTGATTTCAAATGCTGCATTCTTCTTCTATTTTGATAGAGCAGTTTAGCTCTCGTGAAATACCACTACCGACTAGAATCGAGGAGAGATCAATACTAACGATTTGCAGTTCATAACACTCGTTCAGGTTTTCATTAGCTGTTTTTATTAGCCAAGAGGGTGTGTGGCGCAGTGGTCGGAAGGACCCTGCGACACACACATGGGAATGGTACCAGACTCGTCTGGAAGAATAGGAGCACTAGCTCCATACATGAGTAGGAGTCCGCGAGTCATTGTAAAGACCAGATATGCATTCAATCACCTCCAACGATAATTAATGAAGTCGAATGCATGGCGAATCCCTCAGGGATTGATCAACGCCGAGAGTTTCATCCTTTATCCTTCACTAGCTGTTTACGATTCTAGAATTTTGTATTGAGGATCGCTATTTTCTTCTCTTGCATTAGTGTTTCATACAATATTGAGTAATGGAAGAATTTTCCGGAGAATTTTTCGTGTACTTTAATATCTGAATCCGTTGAAAGAAAGCAATTCTGAGTTTTGAAACCGAGCGCCGTTTAACCTCGGTAGTGAAATGATCAACATGTGTTTAAATTGTTGAGCTTACATGAGGTCGTTATACAACTTTCATTCAGCTAACGTTTTGACGTCTTCGTCTTCATCAGAGCCGATGGTCCAATTCGGTATCCATAGTTGTACGTTTTCTCGATGGGGCACTTTCGTCTTCGTAACGAATCGGATCTTCTTCACTGGAGCATCTCTCGAATGAGGCATACTCACCCGGCAATGCTCTTTAATTCAGGACAATATATGTTGATTATAGTAATTCTCACGACCGACTCTCTATTATTAATTGGTGAAATAATTCCTTGTATTTCTGTTGAGCAAACACGAGGTGCTATCTAACTCTTTATTGCTGACGTTTCGGTGGATTTCGCTTTCCTCAGAGCCTGGAGAGGTCAAGTTGATAATAGTGATCGTCCGGTGTCAACAACATATTTTTTCTGCACAATCCGTCTTTTAGAAGTCTGTATCATTATCAGCTAGCATGGAGCAAAATAACATTTCAAGACCGACTTTCTTTTAACTTCGGTGCTACTAATCAACATGTGTTTAATCGCTGAGCTTATACGAGGCTGTTATATAACCTTTATTCGGCTAAGCTTTTGACTAGATCTATGCTAGCTGACAATGGTACCGACTTCTGTAGAATGGTTTGTCTTAAACAAACAAGTCTTTGTCACCGGAAAATCACTGTTATTAACGTGTAAAAGAGGACTA